GCTGGAGGAATTCTGGGAGTTGAAGTCCACCCATCTTAAAGGGGCCGAGGTTGAGAAACACCGGGCTGGACTGACCCAGGATTTAAGCTGGGATCAGCTGAAATCGATGCATCTGACGGAGCGAGTTGCAATTCCCCGAAGCATCTACCTTGGAATAAAATGTCTCTGTCGGAAAAGGTGCTTCCTTCTGATTTTTAATTCCAACGGAATAATTCCTCCACTAACTTTTGTTGCAGGGTGACCGCTGTTTCAATGAACAATGCAGGTTGTTCTATTGCTATTCTGCATGGGAGTGCATTCTGGGAGTCGTAGTCCAAGGCACCGATGCATTCTGGGAGTTGTAGTCCAAGGACCAGGCTCCCAGAGCTGCAAAAACGAACCTTTGGATGACATCTAGTGGATAAACCCAAGAACTGCAGTATAACAGGGATAAACCAAGATAATTCTGAAACTTGCTGTAAACATCGTAGGGAAGTCTGCAATGTCTATACAGTAGCCACAAACCAACAACAATTCAGAAAGAGCCTGGTAACATCTTTTAAGACTAACCCATTCCCTTATTATAAAGCTTACAGCTTTATTTATTATAACTTATTGATCATTCATAAGCTCACGAAAGCTTATGCCTTTTCAATGTCTTTTCAAGTAAATGTAGAAACCTTTGCATATTCCATAAATAGAACCTGATCTACTCCAAATTAACCACCAGAGCTGCTGGGGGTGCTTTGACGTTGAAAAATAACCGCAGTCCTATTCTTCTCAGCCCCAAATTCCTAACTATGCTTAAAAGGATATCATTTAATCTTCTCTCATTAGAAATATGGAGCTCAAACGTGATGGGGTTCCGTGTTCAACGTTAGGAGGGTTTCAGTGGGGAGAAATGAAAGAATTCAGACTCAGTAAGACTTCAAGATACTGATGCACCTTTCTGAAGGTTTGGAAGTAATGTTATCTCCTGAAGGCCAAATCAAAAGCTTGGGACCGTTCCCAGCAAGAATTCCATTAAATGATAGAATATTTTATACAAGTTGAATGTGAATCCTCAGTCCGAGTGCTGCGGAAGAGGCAAATACGTTTTTAACTTGCATCAATCAAAGCGCGCAGGACTTCGATCGGCTTGCCGTATTCCAGCGGGGTACCAATTTTTTAAAATAAAGTACTGATTTCCAAAGCAAGCAAATCAAAAGCCATTCGGTATGGGCTAGGCTTCCCCTCCAGCGCCATATCTACTTTTAGCACCGCACTTTAAGAAGAATTCAGGAAAATCCAAAGAAGGTGCAAAGAAGGGCAAAGGAAATTATCAAGAGGTTGCAAACTAAAATCTTTGAGTGGTTGAAGGAATCAAATATGCTTACTCCTGAGCAAAAACAACCAAGGGGGAGAAAAACACTACCCAGTGGAATGACACACAGAATTAGGTCCCTTCCAATTTCATGATTCATAATCAGTTAGCGGCTAACCCAATGTTTTCCCACAACCTCGGCCATTTTAAGATGTGTGGACTT